GAACTGTTGCGAGGACCTGGCCTGGGAGAGGTCAGGAAGGAACAGAGATACCTCAAACCAGAGCAGCACAAGAGTGATCCTGAAGGGCATCGGGGTCCCTGGCACTGCCATTACGGAGCCAGGTGTCCAGAGCTAAAGAGTGCCTGGTGGGAGGAAGTGCTCGTCTGGCTCCTCCCTGTGAGTCGCTTGGGGTCCCAGGCTGACCTTTATGGATCTGTGTCCAGGCAGAGGTGGAACATCAGCGCGGCCGGGCTGTTAGTGAAGATAAAAACAGGAAGCAGGTAAGGGTGGGGGAGGACTGAAAGGGTGAGAAAGACAAAGAAGACAGTGAGCTGTGACCACAGTTGTGATTTTGAGTTGACATCACAGTTGAAACAGTAAAATGCAATGTATCAGTTTAAACATTTTGGAAAGAGACTTTTCAAAGGATAGAAGATAGTATGTGGCAGGTAACTGCCAAGTGAGGATAACAGAAACCTAGAAAGTATTGCCAAGTGTGCTTGAAACTTAGACAATACAGTAACTATTTCATACACCACATGCACATATTTCCCAAACCTGCTTGCAACCAGCACCTTCAGCATTTATGTGTGTGTGTATGTTATCTGTCCGTGTGTGTGTTTGTGTGTGTGTGTGTGTGTGTGTTTGTGTGTGTGTGTGTGTGTTACAGAGCAAACCAATTTTCGTTCCTTGCTGGATGTGGCTAGCTCCATCTGCCGTTCAAATATGTAGACATCTTTAATGGACTGCTCTGTTCTATTTAGCGACTAAAATCCTCACTGGAAGGGCTCAAGAAAGACATCCTAGAATTAAAACAATATTTACTTTATCATAAATTCTCTCATGCAGAAGGCCACCATGGTCATGGGAAGAGAGGCATATCCTGACGTGGCAAAGGAAGTGGGACACATGCTTGGGGACTGGGCATAGAGACCACGCACCTCCAGCCACATCATGGAGCTACCAGCCATTTCATCACATGACCTGGTTCTTGTACTGAATGCCAATCTGCATATCTTGCTTAATCAATGTCGATGATTTTGGCATTCTCTGACCTGACAGCTGTCCAGATCTATCCACCTTATTTCTGCTTTCCAAAGACAGTTGCAACACAAAGTTTGACTTCAACATAAGCTCATCAAAGTGTTCACAGGACTATAATTAGTTTTTGTGGATTATAAATGTATTTTTCTAAACTCTGCATGTGATTCAGACAAAAGATAATTTGCAACCCACTGATATTCCTAACAGTGTATCACTAAATACTTACATTTGAAATAAATTATAAAGCAAATCTGGACACACACCTAACACACACTGATGTAAATTTGGAGCTGGGACATACCTCCCAGCCCCAATGCTGGAGGGCACTGTAGATTCCCCAGAAAAGGGTGTCTGGGGATGTATTGGAGTGAGAGCAGCTGCGGACATGTTTGATAGCAAAGAAATGATTTCTCGGGTCTCTCCCACAACAGGCCACTGCATTCGCAGGTAGGCGAGGGAACCGAGATAGAGTGCTTTAGAAACAGAAAGCCAGACGACATGTCTGAGTCAGACCAAGACACACGCTCATATGGAAGACCTGAGCTGCACTTAGAGCATCACTTGCTGCCCACTGGTGCTTGCAGTGACGGGCTGGATGGCATGACTGGCTGGGTTAGGCCACAGTACCTGCCTGTGAGTGTTGGAGCAGGGATGGGCCACATCAGGCTGGAACACAGCACCCACCAGAATGTGAGAAAACAAAACTGGGGGCAGATTCTGTAGGGGAATTGTAGCCTCACCTCTGTGGGAATGCAGTACCTGCTGGTTTATGCAGACAGCTGTGGCATGATAGGCTAAGCCAGGCTGGATCATGGAACTCAGCTGACAGGAACCCACTTGACACTTGCGTGGACTGGGACTTGAAGAAAGCAGGCTGAGGCAGGCTGTAGCACATGCGGCTGCCAGTGCATGCAAAAGTCAGGACTGAAGGCAGACCGTGCCAAGCAGGGCTGCAGTCTTGCTACTCCATGGGAGATCTGGGGCTGGGAGCAAGACTTGTAGGATGGGCACTGAGTCATCTGCCGTGGGTCCTTGGGCCCATCTATGTGGTGGGTTCTGGGTCTGTGAGCCCTGGAGACAGGGCTTTTGGTGGAGCTCAGGTTGCCTAGGCCAGATCCTTGAGCCAGTAGATGCATGGGTGCTGGGTGCGTGAGCCCCAGGGAATGAAGGGTGGACAGGATGTCCAGGGATGAGGGTGACTGCTTCACCTGGCCTGGGTCCTTTGACCTGCCTGTGTGGTGGGTGCCAGGTCCAGGAGCCCTGGGCATGGGCTTTCCAGTGGGGCCTGGGTTGGGTGGCCCAAGGCACTAATGGTGCCAGGGAAAGCTCAATGGTTTCCTGGTAGCATGCTTGTGGGACTTGGTTTGTGGCCTTACAAGGGTCTAGGATGGCACAGGTGGGGGCATGCAGAGCCCTGGCAGCTCACATCCAGGACTAGTGGTCTGACTGTGGAGTGCATGTGAGACCTGGGTTGCCTCAGTGAAAGAGAAAGATCGGTGCATGGCTGGTCCAGATGCACATGGAGGAAATGGCAGCCCCTTGGGACCTGCTGAGGACATCCAGAATCACAATAGTAGAAGAAGAAGAACAAAACCAATTGGACAACTACCTCGAGAAAACATGATAGCAAATATTTGGGTGAATGGAGACTCTAAGGTCAACTATGTCAGCCAACGGACATTTGGGGGTGAGGTTTCCGATCCTTGGATGGGTGAGGTCAACAGCAGTTCAGAACTATTGAAATCACAAGGCAGAACCCTTGCAGCATGTGCCACATCAGGGACCCAGGGTTGATATTGGGTAGCCATTCCCCATCCCTGGATACTGGAATGGTTGGGAGGCTGGGCACGGCTTCTCCCCTTGCCTCCCCTCTTCCCCTGAAAGCAGGAAGAAGAAATAAGGAAATTTGGAAACAATGACCACAGTCACTTTTCCCTAACCGTCAATTCTTCCCACCTTGATTGACTATGTAAACATCCTCAAAAATTAAAATTAAAGATTAAGAAATAAGACTGATAGGAGAACTTGGGGAATGGCCTTACTAGTCCAAAACTCTATCTGGGGAGCACAGGAGCTGGGACTAGGGCCAGGCTAGGCCAGGCAAGGATTCCGTATTGGACAGAGTTTGTGTGGGCTGGGTCTGGGGACAGGTCAGGCTGGGCTGGGCCAGGCCTCAGCACCTGATGGCATGAACCAGAATGGACTGCAGCATCCACCAGTTCATATGAGGGCTGAGGCTGGGAGTGGGCCAAGCTGGACTAAGCTGCCACACAGGCTGGCAAGAGCTGGAAGCGGGTGTGGGCCAGACTGAGCCAGGCTATAGCACCTGCTGGCAAATGGTGAGACTGTGGGTGGATCAGCTCAGACTAGGTCACAGCACCTGCTGGCATGTGCAAGAACTGGAGCTGAGCACAGGCCCAGTAGGGGAACTATGGGGACTTCCTTGTTGGGATGCTGCTTCCACTGATGAGCCTGAGAGCTGGCACCAGAAGTGGGCTGGTCTCGGGGCAGGCCAGGCTTGCCTGGCTGCTGCACTGGCTGGCATGCACAAGAGCCAGAATGGGTGTGGGCCAGCCAACCTAGAGTGCAGCGCTGACTGGCAAGTGCTGGGAATGGGTGTGAGTCATGTCAGGCTTGACTGTAGCATCCACTGGCAGCTGCACAGTCTGGGGCTAGGAACATGCCTGGCAGGGGAACAGTGAACACTCCCTGCTAGGGTGTACCTACTGCCCTGCAACACAAGAACCAGAGCTGAGGGAGGGCCAGAATGGCCAAGGTGGTAGCACCTATTGGCATGCCTGAGGGTTGACTCTGTGGGTGGGCCAGGCTGAGCTAAGTTGCAGCACCCGTGGCTGAGCACGAAAATGGCATGGGATGTGTGCTGGGCCACTCTAGGCTGCAGTAGAGGCTGCCATGTGCAAAAGCCAGGGATGCGGCAGGTCTGGAGGAGTTCCTAGGGGTCACCCCATCTAGACCACAGCATCTGCTGGTATGCATGAGGACTGGATCTGTGGTGGGCTGGCTGCGCTGGGCTGCAGCACCCATTGGTCCGTGTGAGGGATGGGTTGAGGCAGAACTGAGCAAACTGCATCCACTGGTATGTAGGTTGCTTGGTGCAGATGACAGACCCTACCGACCCTGCACTGGCTAGCACACATAAGAGTCAAGTCGGAGATCCCACTAGGAGAGGGGAACTCCCTGACTGGACAACTGGACTCAGACCTTGGACACAGGAAACATCATAGGCTGTGTAGTCTGACCTTGGAGTGCATGTGTCAGGACTGGGCCTGTGTGGTAAACCACACGTGCAGATGTACACAAGAGACATGACAGCCAGCTCATCTAAGCCACCAGGAACGTCAACTAGCTTGTCAGAGAATCAAAGGCAAAGTTGGTTGGACAATTCTCTTGGCCAATCTTTGCAGCATGTTCCTGAGTCTGTGGACCCACTAAGAAGAACTTTGAAACCATACACCTTGGAAGGGTTTTCTCAGCCCTGGAGAATAAAGCCAATGTCTCAGGGTGACAGAAAGCCCTCAGGTAATGCCCTGGAACACTCTTCCCTGCATCGGGGTCTCTAAGACATCACCAAAGGTCATGCCCAATCCCAGGTGCTGATGCACTTTGACATCAAGGAGTGGACATCTCGCTCTCCTTTCCGGTGGGCATGGGGGGGGGGAAACAGAATTGAAACCTGTGCCCCCCACACCTTTTTCATACCTGGTCCTTTCAAACCTCATCAGAGGCCCACTTGGGCACCATGCAACTCAACTATGCAAACAATACTTTTTTAAAAATGAAGTACAAAAGGAGAGAATCCAATGTTGTAATGTTGAATGTTCGTTAACAAGGCAGCAATTATCACTTAGTTTTAGTCTAAATGATGAGACATGTGCTGATATTCTGTTTATAAAATTCAATTCTTTTTAATGAAATTATGAATAATGTCCTTCCTCTCACATTTCACTCATGTCTTCTTCTTCTTCTTCCTTTTCATCTTCATTATCCTGCATTTCATCTTCGTTTTCATTATCCTTACATAGCATAAGCCAGCAACACAAACAAAACACGGCAAAAGGAATGAAGATTAAAGCAGAAGTGAAAATTGTTCTTGGCATGTGATGATTTTCAGTCACTTCTGGGCTCTCCACAGTTGAGGTTGGGTTAGCATCAGGTGTTGTAGGGCTTTCTGGAGGTGGTGATGGGTAATCTTCAGGAGGTGGTATTGTTGCACCCGGAGGTAGAGGTGGTGGACCGCTATCTACACTGCCTCCAAGGCCTTCCACAGTGCAGTTGGGAGGTGCCCATCCTGAGTGACAGTGACAGTGCTGTTTATTATTGCAGACACCTCTCATGTTGCAGTGCCGCCTCTGACAGTCTACCGATGGTTGAAGCCTAGCAACACACTTCTGCTTGAGGCACATCTTGCCTGTATCACACACTGTGCCATCCTTCACTTCACCTATGTCAGGTATGGACATCCCTAAATGATAATCTGTGCCCCAGCAGGTGGTGCCGTTGATGTGAGATTGATGCACTGTGTAGTGATCTTTCAATGCGGGAAGTGTGAAAACATTTTGACATTGGACTCGCCCACACATGACATCAGGAGCCGTACATTTTACATATGTGGTGTCTGGAATACCACAGTGGCCAAAGCGATCTCCTTGGGTGTTCATTTCACTGTAACAACTGGCAGACGCACTCGAGGCCTCTTTGCCAAAAATCTCTTTACACTGAATGTCATGGCTATTACAAGACTTTTGATAGCAGTAGGAATTTGTACCACACTCAATGCCGTCCTGTAGGTACACGTCTTCTGGACACTCAGGTGAAGTCCCATTGCACCACTCTGGAAGATCACACTCATTGGTCTTCTCCCTACATACAGTCCCAGATGGCAGCAGTTCGCATTTTTTGCAACAAGCTCCATGACCACAAGCAGCCCCAGGCTTCAGTGAGCAGGTTGATGTGCAGCACGGATCTTTTGTGCACTCCCGTAAGGATCCACAGTCACACTCCTCCCCCTCTTCTACTGCTCCATTCCCACAGAATCGCAACCTTGTGATGTGCCGTGGTCTTGCAGGAGAGAGAACGCAGGTGCCAGTACTGATCACAGTTTCCATATATTGAGAATAACTGCAGTTGCTGAAACGACGAGAGTCCTGTTTGCTGGGATACATTATGCAAAACCGATCTCCACATGTACATGTTTCAGTATCATGCAACATACCTAGATTATGTCCCAGTTCATGACTCAAAGTGTTTGCAAAACTGATTAAATTATCATCATCAAAAGTATTAACTCCACTGTTTAAAAGACGAAGACATATTCCTCCAACATAGGCAATACCAAGTTGAATCCCATATAATTCTTTTCTGATAAGATGTGCAACATCATTGTGAACACGACTATCAAAACCCAGAAATTTCCAAAAGGAAAATCTCTGTAGGACTGGCTCTAAATCACCAGTGGTGTCTATTAGGTTGCTTGTAGTCCAGATTTCCATCCCCATCAGAGTGACATCAACCTCCATGTGCTTATAATATTCATCCACTGCATTAATAACATGAAATACATCATACTGAACTCGTGACTCATTGCTTTGAGAGAAAACATATCGCTCATGGTCCACAACCACTGCCAGCTCAATATAGCGCCAGTGTGTCCACCAATTCAGTCGAGAACGTGGTTCCACAGTGAAGTTATATGACGCTTGCAATGCCAGTTGCTGAGCTATCAACTCTTCTGTTAAGCCACATCTCATGGGTGGGGATTGTGTGTCATCACTGTCAATCTGAGACACCAGGTGTTCAAAGGTGGTGGAGTACTCAATCGGTTCAATTTCATACATGAGGTTGTTTATCTGTAACATTCCTCGAAAACCCCCATAACAGGTGCTGAGAGCGACCAGGGACTCAGGATCCCCCTCCACAAAGCCATGATAGAAGCAGTCCTCAGGGACAAAGAGGTAATCCTCCTGGAGGGCATGCTGCTCTGAGTAGGTGAACACAGGGAGGTGTGTGGAAATCAGGAGCCTCTTGACCCTCATGTGGACAACGTGTCTCTGGCCCCCAAACCGCAGGCTGTAGGAGAGCCATCCTGGGGACCCTACACCTCTGCCCTTGCTCGTCACCCTCAGGGGGATCACCACTTCCACAGAGCTGAAATTCTGGGAGAGATCAGGACTCGACAGTAATACCCCAAGCCAGAACAACAGAAGAGTGACCCTAACATGCATGGCTTCCCACCGATTCCTAAGATGGAGCAGTTGTTCTGGAGTCACTCTCCAGAGCAAAAGAGGGTGTGCTATGAGCAATGCTGGTCTAACTCCTCTCTCTGAGCTTCTTGGTGTCCCAAGTTGAGCTTGTCAGAGGTGGAACATCAGCTTGGTAGTGCTGAAAGTGAAAATCAAAAGAGGAGGTAGGTAAGGTTAGGGAATCATGAAAGTGTGGGAAAAAGAAAGAAGAAAGTGAGGTAAAATGACTGTTGCATTGGGGTCACAGTTGAAAAAGCAAAGTGCATTGCTTTTCATTTTTAACTATAATCTATATATATTTTTGTATGTGTGTTTGCATATGTATGCATAATATATGTGCATATAAATATGAATACATATATTTAAAGAGATTCTCCTTTTGAAAAATGATTGGGAATCATGAGGTGGTAGCCCAATGTGAATTCAGCATACATGGTGCTTGAAATTTATAAATTGCAATCAATATTTCATATGGCAAATGAACCAAATTTCTCCCTCTCCAGAAACCTGCTGACATTCTGCTCTTTCACCATGTGTAAGAACAACCCATGTATGTGAATTTAACTTATTCCTCTTCGTTCTGCTCTAATACTGAGCCTTCCTAGGTGCCAGCAGTACCGAAATGCATCGGACTAGTTGATCCAGTGGTCTCATTTGGTACCAGAACAGACTATTTGGACCAGCGGGATGCCAAAGGAATTGTGGAAGTGAACTAAAAATTGTGGTGTGGAGGATTATAGATCAGATGAAATGATACAGGAGATTAGCAGACCAATAACACATTGGAAACACACACTGAAGCTGCAGCTGGAGTCAAAGGACTTGGTCCAATGATGAACTGCATGCAGTAACCCAGAGACTAATAAAGTTTTTCAAACAAAGGGCTACAAATTGCAAGGGAATCATTTACCACAACTCTCAAAGATGACTTGAGGTGGTGGTAGGTGCTTCCTCTCCCATATAATTCTGGGTTATGCAGATTTGGAGTTCCCTTGACCAAAGGGTCATATTTTGCTTCAGGTGTAATCACAGTCATACTGCATTCTTTATATGCAAACATTTTCACCAGACAATGTTGAACTCATCACGTGTTTACAGCAGATATTAAAGGAGGAGTCCTAGCACTGATGGGGTGAGGGACACTCCTCATTGACAGCAAGCAGGACTGCTATTATAAGATAGGAACACCAAGATGTACTCGCAGAACCCAGGTGTTTGCTCAGGAACTCCTCGGTGGTCCCTACCACAAATGTAAGTGAAAGTGGATGGAATCAGCAACCACAGCCCTGAGGGTTATTCTGCAAGTACCAAGGGGACTGGAAGCTCTGCCAGGAGACAATGACCTGCTTTGTGACACACTGGTAAGCTTCCAAGGCCTAAATACTCATGGTCAAATTTAAGAAAATGAGAGTCGATAGCAAAAGACAAATACTAAGTATACTCTCATGTCCACAACTCAGCACAGCATGGAGACCTTGATGTATCCTGCTAACTTCCCTCTTTGAATGCTTCCCACACCAGAAGAGGGGCCCACCAGAATCATCTAACAGTCATTGATGAAACATTATTGGAAAAGCGACACGGGGCTCTGCACATATTGCACTGTGGAATAAGCCACCAGCAAATGCAGGTCCTGCCGGCCGGTGGCAGAGCCTATCATGAGCAGAGACTTCCCAGATTTCAGATCTTTTGTGGCTTCTGTTGCAGACAGGTGCAAGCCCTTCCCAGGTCTGCCATGTCCATTAAATGACCAAGAGGGATGATCAGACCATCTTGATCCAACTCCGACAACCCTGTTCAAACATTTCACTGCCTCACTGGCCAAGACAGCAATTCAGTTCAACTTCTATCTCTACTCTGTGTTCCTCCCCTCTTTTTCATAGTGTGAGGTCTAATATAACCTTCACTCTAAACAGCAGCTTAGAGTGTGCTTGGGAGACCACAGGTTGCCACAAGAAGGAGGGCAACTGCAGGAAATCCCAAACACCTCTAGGGCCAGTAGAACCAAGCTACCAGACCTTGTTGATTCAAGCACAGGTGGTTGCTGAAAGTCTTTCAGAACAGGGCTGAGATCTCTGAGAAGGGCATGCTGACCTGCTGGCACTTCAGCTTCAGGAATTCATCCAACGTAGGAACACCCAGCTGATCAAATCTGAGTCACAGGCAGAGGACATTGACGGTAGACTGCACAAGAACTCTCAGCAAGAACGCAAGGGACTCAACCAGTCAACACAACAGTGGGATCAAAACTTATCTGGGCTAACAGAGTAATAACCTCAGCCAAGAAAAAAAAAATCAAAAACCCCAAGGACAAAGGACAGACTCTGCTCTTACGGATCACTTCAGGAGGCTTCCTCCATCTTGTGCACAGCCTAAAGTATCAAACAGAAAGTAAGTCGTACAGATTACAAAATAAAGACATGAGAATAGGTTCCAAATGCAGAGCTGCGGTTCTAATGTGTGTCTCTTTATTACCTATGCTCAGGAAGCAGGAGACAACTTTGAGGAAAATGATATTTAATGTGCTGTAAATACTAAGAAGCACGAAAGATAGGAATTGCATGCTGTAAGATGTAATACTAGAACATGAGTTACCATAGAGCTCTTGTCCAAATGCTGAGACATGTCCTTTTTTCTTATAAAAGCAAAAATTAGATCCTTTTGAAGGAACTTTGAGTATTAGTTCTGCTCCCTCTTTCTTTTCTCTCCCCTATTCTTATTTTGTTGCCTTTGTCACATTTGACTTTTTCTCCATTTCCTTTTTGTCTTTGTGTCGCTTGTATAACACAAGGGAAAAAAAATCAAAGAATCAAAGGAATAAACATGAGTGCAGATGTGAAAATTTTGTTTCCTTGTTTTTGCATTGGTGAAGTCGTCCCTGGAACTTCTTTTGGTGGTGGTGGACCTCTATCTACGCTACCTCCAAGGCCTTCCACAGTGCAGTTGGGAGGTGCCCATCCTGGGTGACAGTGACAGTGCTGTTTATTATTGCAGACGCCTCTCATGTTGCAGTGCCACCTCTGACAGCGTAATGACGGATGAATCCTATGAACACACTTACGGTGAGGCACACCCTGCCTGTACCACACACCGTGCCTTCCTTCACTTCACCTATGTCAGGAAACGGCAGTCCTAAATGATAATCTGTGCCCCAGCAGGTGGTGTTGTTGACTTGAGAGTGATACACTGTAAAGTGGTCTTTGAATATGGGAATTGTGACGACATTTTGACATTGGACCCGCCCACACATGACACCAAGAAAGCTACATTTTGTGTAGGTGGTGCCTCGAATACCACAGTTGCCAAAACGATTTCCTTCCGTGTTCACTCTAATGTAGCAATCGGAAAATGCACTTGATGCCTCTGTGCCAAAAATCAATTTACACTGAATATCACGAGTATTACAAGACTTTTGATAGCAGTAGGTATCTGTAGCACAGTTGACACCGTCCCGCAGATACACGTCATCTGGACACTCAGGTGATGTCCCATTACACCACTCTGGAAGATCACACTCATTGGTCTTCTCCCTACATACAGTCCCAGAAGGCAGCAGTTCGCATTGTCTGCAGCAAGCTCCATGACCACAAGCAGCCCCAGGCTTCAGCGAGCAGGTTGATGTGCAGCACGGATCTTTTGTGCACTCCCATAAGGATCCACAGTCACACTGCTTCCCTCATCCACCACTCGATTCCCACATATTCGCAACCTTAAAATGTGTTCTGGACTCGAGGGAGAGAGAATGCATGTGCCAGTAGTGGTCACAGTATCCATATATTGGGAATAACTGCAGTTGCTGAATAGCCGAGAAGTTTCTTTGTTGGCATTCATTATACAAATTGTTTCACCACATGTAAATGCTTCAGTATCATGTGCCATACCTAGATTATGACCCAGCTGATGAGTCACAGTAAGTGCAAAAAGATCTAAATTTCTGTTTTTCGAAATATATCAACTCCACAATTAGATTCTGTTTGGCATACAGATCCAGCACTGGCAATCTCATCATCTCCATTAGGTCCTTCATCTCTGAAAAGATGTATAACATCATTGTGAACATTCACATTAAGGTGTACAGATTTCCATAAGCAAAAGTACCAAAGAAGACTTTCTAAGTTACCTGCTGTGTCTATTTGGTTTCTCGCATTCCAGATTTCCAGGCAAGTCAAAATGACATCAACCTCCATGTGCTTAAAGTATTCATCCACTGCATTAATAACATGAAATACATCATACTGAACTCGTGACTCATTGCTTTGAGAGAAAACATATCGCTCATGGTCCACAACCACTGCCAGCTCAATATAGCGCCAGTGTGTCCACCAATTCAGTCGAGAACGTGGTTCCACAGTGAAGTTATATGACGCTTGCAATGCCAGTTGCTGAGCTATCAACTCTTCTGTTAAGCCACATCTCATGGGTGGGGATTGTGTGTCATCACTGTCAATCTGAGACACCAGGTGTTCAAAGGTGGTGGAGTACTCAATCGGTTCAATTTCATACATGAGGTTGTTTATCTGTAACATTCCTCGAAAACCCCCATAACAGGTGCTGATAGCAACCAGGGACTCAGGGTCCCCCTCCACAAAACCATGATAGAAGCAGTCCTCAGGGACGAATGGGTGGTCCTCCTGGAGGGCATGCTGCTCTGAGTAGGTGAACACAGGGAGGTGTGTGGAAATCAGGAGCCTCTTGACCCTCATGTGGACAACGTGTCTCTGGCCCCCAAACCGCAGGCTGTAGGAGAGCCATCCTGGGGACCCTACACCTCTGCCCTTGCTCGTCACCCTCAGGGGGATCACCACTTCCACAGAGCTGAACTGTTGCGAGGACCTGGCCTGGGAGAGGTCAGGAAGGAACAGAGATACCTCAAACCAGAGCAGCACAAGAGTGATCCTGAAGGGCATCGGGGTCCCTGGCACTGCCATTACGGAGCCAGGTGTCCAGAGCTAAAGAGTGCCTGGTGGGAGGAAGTGCTCGTCTGGCTCCTCCCTGTGAGTCGCTTGGGGTCCCAGGCTGACCTTTATGAATCTGTGTCCAGGCAGAGGTGGAACATCATCTGCGCAGCTGTGCTGAAGGTGAAAATAAAGAGGAGCTAGGTAAGGATTGGGGAGGAAGGGTGGGAAAGTTGAAGAAAGTGATGCTAACATGAATTGTAGG